TAACATAGACAGACAGACATGAATCCTTTTCCTAATTTAGTGCTGCTCTAATTTTCAATTTCTTTGGTAATAGTCATACCCTCATCTTCCCTAGGTCATAAACCCTGTTGGCAAATCTCTGCACTCTCACAAGAAATCAGAACCCATTATCATTGGCCCTTCTGTCTTGAAAGAAACAATTCTGAAATGTGAAAAAATTTCACTAGAATCAAGGACATGATTTTTTGTAATTTATTTTCAGAACATTACAAGCTCATTTTCCAGAAACAGCATGAAAAAGGAAAGCAAAACAAGCATAATAAAAAAGGAAAGGGCAGTGAGCTGCTGATAGAGATTGAATAAGCAAAAATTAATATAGCAACTCACAGAAACTGAAACAGGATGAATCCAATGTTAAAAAAATAAAAAGATGACCTTGTCTTGCCTTCTGAAAATCTGCCAAGTTCCAAGGCCGAAAGTGATAGCTCCAGGGAGGAAAAGAAACCATCTTGACCACGTTGATCCTTTCTCTTGATCTGCCAAACAACCATGCTCAGAATGACATAATCCTGGAAATTTAAAATAAAACCCAGACGGAGAAAACATATATACCATGAGATTGGGAAGAGGAAGAGGAAGAGTAAGAGGAGACAGCAGCAGCGGTGGAGAAGGAAGCACGTGGGACCCAATGCTTTGGCGGGAGGAGTTGGTTGGAAAGGGAATAGTAGGCCACAGCATGACGGAGCCTTGTTAGGGTTTTGGAAAAGGATGCCATCTCTGCTGTCACATTAGATGCCAGTAACAGCCTTCTAGCCTTGTTTTTCAGCCCCGAGGAGGTGAGGGGAGAGCAGGACGAGGAGCCACTGAGCACTGTTTCAACTCCCGAGGGTTTATGGGGCTTTAAGATTTTAGAAACAGTTCTCTTTTTTCTTTTTTAATTTTTTACATAATACTTTAAAAAATTTTAAATTATTCAAAAAAAGTTAAATAAAATTTTTTATTTCATTTCATTAAATTTTTATATTTTTATTTGAAATCAAATAAATTTTTATAATTAAGAATTGATTAATTATAATCAATCAAAATATCAATGGTCAATTTACAAAAAAATATCAATGGTCATTTTATATCATATGGAACTGATATAACGTCGATTAATAAAGAAAAAATATCACATGATCGTATCATCATCTATTATGATATATTAATATCATTTAATATAAAATGACAAAATCATTAACCACAAGAGTTTATTTTACTCAAAATAAAATATACAATAGCTTATTAAACCAAAAAAAAATTAAGAGCTTACTTGAATTTTTTAATAGGTTAAGAGTGTTTTTAAGTATTATGTTTTAATTTTTTTATTGTTTTTAAATATATTTATTGTTATTTTTAACATAAAAATAAAATAAAATTTAATTTACATTCAAAATAAAAAGCATTACTGTTCTTCCTTAATTTTTAACATCTACAACAATATATAAAAATTGTCTAAAGGTAAGGGTCCAATTGACAGCTGTCTGAGACATATTTGGTATATCTTGATTTGTGCAAGGTTTTTATTGAGGTGCAAGAATTTGTTTGATTATTATAAAACTGAGTGAGGTTATTTTTATCTTATTGCTTTTATTATGTTCGAGTTGTTTTTGGTTTTTTAAAAAAATTTTATGCATTTTTGGTCTTTTCTCTTTGGGATCCTTTTAAAATTTTTTCTATTGTGGGTCTCTTTTTACTTGTGCTTTAACTCTTTTTAACTTCTTATTCTCAATTTCACCTTTCCTTTTATTTAGCATTGTCATGGGTTATTTAGATTTTTATATTCGGTTTTCTTTTTAACAGTGGATTTTGTATTATCTTTCCTTTTATTATAATAATAACCCAAACTGAAAAACCGTAACCGACACACGAGTCTAGCAAACAAAGCCAGCAAGACTTGAGCAAGCCTTCATGCATCATTCCAACATCATATATCATATATCGTAAAGATCTTATAATTATCATCATACTTAAAATATTGCACAACTTATCATTTAAAACATTAGCCCCTTGGCTCATATTTACATACAAGGCTTAAACATAGTATCCAAATAGCCATACCTTAGCTAGTTTTAAAACCACTTAAACATTACATTAAGCAAAATATAAGGCAACGCAATACCCACATAATCCGTAAAGGGACATAGTTTGATACATAGTGCAAAAGCAGAAAACATAACCTTAACTCAACAAAGTGGCATGGAAAGAAGCCTACCAGTTGCCAAAATGTCCTATCTAAGGATGACACTATGCCACCCAAAAATGCCCGTAATCTATTTATCTACAAAATAGAATCGACGAGAGCGAGTCATCCAAATACTCAGTAAGAGAGAGCATATAATCGAAAGTAAATATGCAAGGATAGTGACAACACATATCCACTAAAATATAATAAGGCTATAAGCTAAGGCATATTACTAAATTGGACATCATCAAGCATACATACCAAAGCATCATCACAACAACTATCCGAGTGACACTTACATATATGTAATTTGCCCATCTCATGGCTATCTTTACTTACATGTTTAGCTTATCATACTTTATTAACACTTGCTTTGATGCTAAGTTTGTGGCTACCTCTAAGCTTTATATATGATCACCTTCATTCTAACACGTATGTACGACTTTTACCTTAAGCCTTGTCATCAATTACAACCGACAATTTATAACATAGTTCGTTTCTCATAACCATATATTGAGGCATGCCATTACATAAATGTTAACGTCATAATCATAAAGTGGTCCTCTTTAGACGTAATATAGTCAACGTACTATGGTCAATTGACGAACAATAAGTCATATCATATCACACTCAATATTGAACTCACCAACAAAAATTATGTCATGCTTAGTGCCGAAGCAACTGGTGGAAGCTCATAGTGGAATAAAATCAATAGATCGTATCGTAGCACTACGAGCAGGAATCATAGGCGGGACTTATACCACCATCCTTACAGATGAGGAATATAGTCATAGGGGAAAAGACACCACTCAACCTCGTATCATATCAATGTCCAGAAATCATTCTAGAACTGAACTCATATAATCATAGCTCAATGCGTATCATGTCACAAATTTAACTCATATCACCATTTACATACACATCATTCCAACAAGCTATTAGTTTCCCCAATTTTGAACGAATTCAAATAGCATTCTATAGATCATCTCTTTATTAATCAAGCATACTCATTATTGATTACATTCTCATTTCATATCATAATCATATAGCTCCTTAACATATATATTATAGAGAGACCAATGCCTAATTAGTGGCTAAATTCCAACTCATAAATATGGACTAGCATAGGCATGATCAACTATAGACATTTTCATATTCATAGGTGGCTACTATCTTAGGCACAGTTCCTCTAGGCATTATACATTACTCATCTACATTTACTAGCCTAGGCATAGCTTTTCTAGTCACATGTAGCATATGCATATAAAATATAACATACATAGTATCACAAGAAGTATATATGGACATCACAATCATGATGCTTCTAATTCATAAAATTCTCCACTCACCATGACACTTTACGCTTGTAGCAATCAATTTAGATTCTCCTTGTTCTACAGCTACTTTCAACTAAGCAGCAAGCTCACGCCTTAATTCCCGTTACACAAGTATATACAAAACATCAATTATTATTTCTCAACTTTCAACAAATTTCCAACATTTCCAAGATAGCTCAATTTCTAGTTATTTAACATACAAGCTTAAATTCCTTTAATTTTTCAACAAAAATACTTAATTCTTACCTTAGGTCTTGGTTTGGCTCACTTAAGTACCAAACTTCCAACAACCATAAACAATTTCAACCACCAAAGTTGGAACAATAAAATTTTCAATTTATAAACCATTTAAATTGAAAACCAATTGGTTAAAAAGCTTTAATCTTACCTCTAAATTGATTTTTTTTAGGCTCAAAATAGCTTCTTCAAACTTCAAAATCGAATGTGAGATGTGCAGATCAAAGGGTAACAAAGAACTCTTGTTTCTCTTTTGTTTTCCAAATGGATGGACTGCCCAAAGCCCTTTGATTTTTGCAAATTTACATGCATCTATTGACAGATCCTATATAATTTCAACATTTTACCCTCCATTTATTAATAGATTGTCAAGTCTATCAATAAATGGTACGCTGGACATCTTTTCATCATCCTCATTTTGTTATCTATCGATAAATCATATCTTAATTGCCTTGCATCAATTGCGGGTGGCTATCTATCAATAGCTTACAGAGATTTATCGACAGATTGTGTTCCAAATGCTTTCTTTTAAGTCATGGGTAGACATATATCGATAGTTGCTAAGAATCTATCAATAATGTTCTTTAGTTTCTTGTAATTCTATTTCTATCTTTCATCTATCTATAGACTTAGAACATTCATCGATAGATCATGTTCAAACTTCCCAATTTTCATAACTCCAACCCTCCAATTTCATTTCTCTGAGTCTCTTATATATTTTTATTCTCATGATCATCTCATTCAATCGTATTGTGCTCAATATCAACACATATATTCATTATATAACTTTAAATTCTCAATCCCACACAGCTCATCATTCATATTTTAACCTAAGTATCATACTCAAGCGTCTAAGTGCCAAATGATAACTCTATTATATAGAGTTACCTTGCATAGTTTTTAGGTATGAAAATAGCTAAATCCTTGTGTTTTTAATTTGATTTTAGGTAGTTGTCATGTTATTCATTAGTAAGTTTAATGCATGTTGAATCATTTTTATTTCAAGTAATTTTATTTCAATTTCATGTTAAAAGTTATAATGTTAGCCTCTACTGATTTAGTCCTTTATTATTGAAGGTTTTCAAGTGCATGGAGTTTAATAGGCAATGAACTATGCAAGGTGGATTGAGGTGTCTCTTGAACATACAATAGTATTTTGAGCATAACTCGCACTACAGAAGTTTGATTAGTGTAATTCTTAGATCACTAGAGAGCCAAGAGGAAGGGCTTCAACTTTCATGTTTATAACTTTACCCAATTCTGACCGAATCATAGTCAAAATCGCATTGAAATAAGTTGGACTATTGTAGTATACACAAAGCAAAACAGAAGACCCAGTGCGACGACTTCAGACTTGTAGGGCCATAACGCTAAGTCTCATTCTGCATTTTGGCATTGCAAAACAGAAAGCATGGCATCACGGCACCAACACAAGTTTTCAATTTTTTTAATTTTGATTTTTTTTAACTTTAGGGCTTTAAAAGAAAGTATAAATAGGACTTCTCAGCAAAGAAAAAGAGAAGATAGTGGTAGCTTTTTCAAAGAAAAAGGAATGTTCTACACAAGAGAAAAATGAGAAGAAAACAAGTGGATTGAGGATCGTAATCAACAGAGAATTGTTCTTCACTCTAGTTTTGTTTTTCTTTCTTTTTCTTTTGCAGTAAACATGAATTATTTTATTGAGAAAATATTATTTAGCATATATGATGAACTAAATTGTTTTTCTAGGATTGTGGTGGATTTTAACATGTAATCTAAATATTTTGTTTCTCTTTTATTTATTATAAATGGAGATGGTGATGTTTATTCAATTCTGTACTTACTATCTTTGATTGTCAAATCAGTAACCAATTGGTTCTAAAAATCTAAATGAAATTTGACAGAGTAATTTTAGATTAAACTAAGTTTTGAATAGCTTGTGTTCATGTCACTTAGAAATTAGGTTGATCATTTTAGCAATTAGGGTAAACATAAATGCCATATGCAGTCAAATTAAAACATTTGGTTAATGAACCATATTTAATTGATTACTATAGACATATAGTGACCCATTTAAGTTAGGTA